TCAGAGTATAGCCAGGTAAACACTGACAACTGTAACTCCCCTCTTCGTTATACAAGTTTGACTGCATGCATGTGTGCCATTTAAACATTCGTCATAATCAGAACATTTCAAGCCATCACCGACATAACCTATTGGGCAATTACTACATGTATAGCCAGACATCGGAGCGATATTGTCCGTACAAGTAGCATTACTGAAGCATGGTTGATCTGCACATGCATTAAAATCTTGTGTACAATGACTACCAGTCCAAGCAGGATTGCATCTACATTCAACTTGATCAACATTATCAACAGTAACCATTTCGGCTGCGTAATCGCATGTGCCATTATTCGAGCAATAGCACATAATAATTTGAGGTGCAAGCTCGCTTCTTGCTCCTTTATTATCTGTAGCAACAAATGTTAATGAAATATTCTCATAGGTAGATATATTCCATGTAAATGTGTAAGTTTGTCTATCGAAATAGGAATTTATTGGAGGATTAGTCATCTCGACTGTAACAATATCGCCATTATTAGGATCTGTTATGTTCAATGTTGTAGTAAACATATTTCCATAAGTGACATTATATGTCGTCAATCCAGAAATTTGAGGGGGAAATTTTCTAATTGATTACTTGTATCTTGATATATCTGAGATGTATCTTTACTAACGACAGCAGCATCAAGATTTAATGTTAATGCAGCATCAAATAAACATTCACTATTATTACCGCATTATGCTACGGCTTGGTTATAGAGTTCCGTATTATTAGCAAATAATGCTTGAATATTTTGACCAAAGATTGGCGTAAAGTTTGAATCTGAATAATTACTAGCCGATAGACCATTAGGATAGGTAAAAAGTGAATCACTAGCATTAATCATCCATAATTGGCCAAAATTGTAAAATATTTGGGATTCTGTTGAATTGATATTCAAGTATGATCCATTCGGTCGTTTGAAATCATCATTGATATTATCATTCCAAGTACCTAAAAGGCCAGATGTTATACCTTTAATTTCATCAGGTCCATTGAAAGCAATAGTTAGCATTTGTGTTAATAGTGTAACTTCCATAGATACTCCAGACGTAAAGATCGCAGCTACTGTTATATTTGATAATCTGGTAACATCGACATTATTAAATTCACGGGTTTCATTTTCAGAGAGGCTGTCCATATTAAAAGATATTGTTCTATTGACTAAGATATCGATACCATTAAAAGTCGAATTAAGTGTAAATTGGACAATATCTGCACCAATTTCCATAGTAGCGAATGCAGAGAATACGGTAGCAGCCGCAGATAGTGAGCTATTTCTAATAGCTTTCATTGTACGTCCTTGTAACTGAAAATTTTTATTTATAGTTTGCAATAGAATATATTCACCCAGTTCATTGAAGGTGTATAGTTTTCCATCAAATGTCCTTACATGAGGATCACCCCAGAACCACGCTTTTCGCGGTGCTTTATATCCAACACATTTATTGATAGGTCTTTTCTTTAAGTAGAGACTACATAGGCTAGATCGCATGCAACAATCCGTTAGAGCCTCATTGTTTCTGGCTTGTAAGGTAGTATTCCTGAAAATAAATGAGCTTCCAAAGGGATATCTAGTAATTAATGAACCGAAAGATTTTCCTGCTGAAGAGCAGCAGCATCGTTGATATACACGCTCGTCAATGGAAACTCTTCGTGAAAACCTTGATCTCACGTAAAATGTATTCAAGTTTAATCTAAATCGTCTATCACGAATAGCTTGAAGGATAGAGCAAGGGCATAGCCTTCGTAGTAATTCATTTAGATAAACATCTGGTAATGGTTCATTGACGAACCAAGTTCGGCAACGTTGAGCATAATTAATATGATTTATAGAGGGATCATCAACTCTGTACATCCATCTGCCTTTTTTACCATAATTTCCAGTTGCACTGTCAATCCGTAACAATTGTTTTGTGTTGGAATTTGGTAATTCATAGTATACATAGGGAATTTATTACTATAGCCTACTCTAGCATTTGTAAGTCGATATCTTTTCCACCAATTCATACCTTTATCTTCATATAAAAATGAGGCAAATAGATGATTTCCATCTGACGACAAAACCAATTGGAATGTATTAGTTATACCAAATTTTGAAGTGTGAAGCAGATGGGTAAGGAACTAGTTTGTACCATGTAATGGTAGTTACTGAAGTTGCGTTAAAATCGGGCACGATTGTATCATATAAACCGTAGTTATTTGAAGTGGAAGAATGTATAGCAATGAAACTCTGATACTGATTAATATCGCTAGTTGCATTTTTTAAGATTTCCGCTGTTTTAGTGGTTGGATTAAATGTGGAGTATTGGCTTACAAATATTCTAGAAGTTGCAGAAAATTGGCCATCTGTATCAGTAAAGAATGGTGTATTGATTGGTGCTTGTCTTCAAGTATATAATGGTTTAAGAAATCATTTATTGAGTAATTTTTAGCTATAATCTGCGATTGTTATAATAATTAATTCACGAACAATCTTATCAAAGAGCAGTTATGCTACGCCAGAAGCATATAGAAATTTTACATTCAGTAATAGATATTAATTAATACTCCTCGTCGCAGTGCATGTTCGCAAAGAAATTTGGAAGCAGAATGATGAGGTTGTACACACTGCGCATGCACAAGCAATGAGTATGTTTTGCCTGCTGCGTTTAGAGGTTAAAACTTATAAAACTTATTTATAAAGAATTCAAAACAGTTTTAAAGTCAACGAGAACCATCTAACACTTATTCTAGAGGTGGGCTTAACTTCCATCTATTGCTCTCTGTTTGGCTGTAATATATTCGTATACTGTATATATGTATATAGCATTGCAGCACAATACAGCTTTTATTTTATGTAGTTGGATAAAGATCATAATGAATCACGATTACCATGTAACAATTGTAAGTTTGTAACATAATAAATTCAGGTAATATCGAATTACCATAGGCACACCAACGTTATTCTTAAATGTACTGTAGATATTACATGCTATAACTAATACTGTATATAGTAATACATCACATTATTATGCATCATAATCTAACAAATGTAGCATAATATATAATTAATGTTATACATACATTGTAAATCTAGAGGGTGTAAATTAACAATGATGAAACTAGTTTAGTTAAAGAGTTATCAGTTTTTTGCACCTTATGCACTTTAATCACTACTCGTCACAAATTATAGAAATTCGAACGAATAACCAGCATATTGCTAGTGATTCATAGTTGCTACTAAAATTCTTGGCTAAAAGCCTCAACTGGACGAAATTATTTTAAACTTAATACTGAATCAAATTATGCCATACGAGTACGTACTTTAGGGATGAGGTAGTTATAAAAAGACAACCGAACTTACTCATTTAAGATAAGCTATTAACTTTGTAGTCAAACATGATGTAGTATTGATACCTAAATAAACCGACATATTATTACGTAATAGTAAAATTTTAACGATGATAATTTTGGAATGGCTATTAATTAGTTATTGAAGAATTATTTGCATGGGTGCTCTCGCCTTGCTTAAAGTATGTAATAACTTTATCGCTAACGCCGTAATTCATAATATTATCTACTCGTAATGACTTCAGTCCAACTTCAACGTAGTTATTGGAACTCACTGGCAGTGGCTGACTATCTATGAAGGAGATATTTACTTGATTGTGTGTTTTCTTCTTAAATTGTTCGTTCTGCACGTAACCTAAAAGAAGTAAAGCTGCGAAGATGATTACTACACCAATAGATCCCAC